TAACTGTGTTTATAACTGCAGTTTCTGCAAGAGGCCAGAATAGGGCATGGAAGACCAAGAGCTAGACAACTTCTGGAAACCAAACTCCAGTCCTTTAAGAGATGTTTCCATAACCACCAAACCATCTCTCCAGCCCCAAGCAGAGAACCTTTGAAAACATTTTTATTCACTTAAAGGAAGTAATGCTAACAAATACCAGATAAGATATAGGACCCCACAGTGAGAATTTCTTTGTTTTTGTGACAAATAATCCATACTAGCCTCAAATTCATCCTTCTGCCTCAGCCTCCTAATTGAGCTAGTTACTACCATGTGTCACCACGCCTGGATTGATCATTATTTTTTCATTAAAAAAGAAAAAAGGCCGGGCGGTGGTGGCGCACGCCTTTAATCCCAGCACTCGGGAGGCAGAGCCAGGTGGATCTCTGTGAGTTCGAGGCCAGCCTGGGCTACCAAGCGAGTCCCAGGAAAGGCGCAAAGCTACACAGAGAAACCCTGTCTCGAAAAATGGAAAAAAAAAAAAAACAAAAAAAAAAAAAAGAAAAAATATCGTTGAGAAACCACCTCAATCCTTTTGTCTTGTACTTCTGACACAACCTTTGATATGCACTGAATTTTGGAACACACACACAAACACACACAGAGGGGGGGGGAGAGGGAGAGAGAGAGAGAGAGAGAGAGAGAGAGAGAGAGAGAGACCCATAAAACATAAAATCAGAAACCATAATATACAAGCAATAATCCAGTAAGATAAAAATGCCCAAAGAAAGAAACATGAGAAAAAAAATCTACAAAATATACCCTTCAGGTTTTTTTTGTGTAGGCAATCTTCTGCTGGGCATGGGGGTCTACCCTTAAGTGTGTCTACCCTTAAGTGTGGGTTATATGCCCAGTGAAACTCCACTGGAAAAAAATTTTTCCTTTATAAGCTGTTATAAATTATACCCTCTCAGTTAGGAATAGGAGCTTGTGTCCATTCCACCTTTCAGTTCTGGCACCCGGTCACTTGAACCTGTGCAGGTCCTGTGCACGCGGCCGCAGTCCCTGTGAGTTTATATATGCGTCAGTCCTGTGCAGGTCCTGTGCACGCGGCCGCAGTCCCTGTGAGTTTATATATGAGTCAGTCCTGTGCAGGTCCTGTGCACGCTGCCATAGTCTCTCTGGGTTTATATATGAGTCAGTCCTGTGCAGGTCCTGTGCACGCGGCCGCAGTCCCTGTGAGTTTATATATGAGTCAGTCCTGTGCAGGTCCTGTGCATGCTGCCATAGTCTCTCTGGGTTTATATATGAGTCAGTCCTGTTCCAACAGGAAGGCACCATTTCCCTGCTCTCATCCATCCTCTCTGGCTACTACAGTCTTTCCTCCTCCTCTTCCGCTTTGTTCCCTGAGCCCTGTGGGAGGGGTTTGATGAGGACATCTCATCTAGAACTGAGTGTTCCAAAGACTGTCACTCTCTGCACACCGTCCAGTTGGGCTCCACCTTTTTAAAAAGTACCTTTTATTATTTAAAACGACTTTAAATTTAGATATATTTTAGCATATTCTTCCCACCCCCCAAGTCCTTCCATATCCTTTACCCCCCCCCACACATCCAACTTTGAGTTCTTTCATGAAAAACAAACAAAACCCCATAAAACAAAGCCCCCAAAACCAAGAAAACTAAATAAAACACCACCCCAAAAGAAAACAAAAATAAAAAACAAAACCCACCAAACTATAACCAAATAAAAGCATACAGAAAATTGTGGAGTACATTATATGTTGGTCTCCTGAACATGAGGCCTGGCCTGGAGTGGTTGATGTACCCATTGTCACTCCATTGGAGAAAACTGGTTTCCTTCTCTTAGCAGGTATAAATGACAGTTCAGTTGTTAACCTTTCACTCTAGTGGCCAGGTTTTCACTCATTCATTCATTTTTACATTTTTAAAAATAAAACAAAATAAAATATAATGAGATAAAATAAAAACTGTCACATCAAAGTTGGACATAACAAAGAAAAAGAGCCCAAGAGAAGGCACAAGAACTGGAGACCAGACATTAGCACCCTGAGGAATCCATAAAAACACTAAACTAGGAGCACAGGAGACCCTGGTGTAGACCTGTGCAGGCCCTGTGCATGCTGCTTCCATCTCTGTGAGTTCACATGAGCTTTGCTCATGTTGGTTTAGAGAACCTTGTTTTCTTGGTGTCCTCCATCCCTTCCGGTTCTTACATTCTTTCTGCTTCCTCTTCTACAGGATTACCTGAGCTCTGAGGGGAGGGATTTGATGGAGACATCCTATGTTGGGTTGAATGTTCCAAGGTCTCTTACTCAAAGACCCTGGAACATAGGGATCAAAGGCCCTGCCTTTCTTAACACCTTTGGAATTAGTGTTCACCACATGAACTGCAAGGACCAACATCCACATCAGGTCATGAACAAGCTGATTATCTGTTTTCCTAAGGATTCAGTGAGAATCAGTATCCATGTTGTTGCGTCATTGTTGCCGACTTCCCAGAACCTCTTACCTACAGAAGTGTATACTGTGCCAGATTCATTATTTTTTCCTTTTCTTTTTTTTTCCTTTTTTTAATTTTAGAGTTTTTTTAATGATTTTTTTTAGATTTATTTATTTATTATGTGTGCAGCATGTATGACTGCAGGCCAGAAGAGGGCACCTGATCTCATTACAGATGGTTGTGAGCCACCATGTGGTTGCTGGGAATTGAACTCGGGACCTCTGGAAGAGCAGTCAGTGTTCTTAACCTCTGAGCCATCTCTCCAGCCCCATTTTCCCCATTTCTTAGTCAATAGCTTTTGCAGGGAAATTTTGGTCTCATGGAAACATGGAACAAATGTACAGAAAATTACCTCAGGTTCCGCCTGCCCTAAAACAGTTTTTCTTAGTAGAAATGTGCACCAGTTGACACTTTTGTTATACCAATGAGTTGTTAATGATACATAAACCAAAGTTGTTTTGAATGTAAATTAAACAGTTCTATTCTGAACTATTTGTGTGGCTCAGACTTCCAAATGTAGAGAATGGAAGGCAGTGAAAAGCAATACACCCTTTTTCCGTGGAGGTCATCCTCATGTGCTGTTCACATGTAACTAGCACACAGCACACAACTGTTCTTCCTTACTGAAACGGTGTCACTCCATGGCCTGTTACTTGTCTTGCTTTCAAACAAAACCACTTCACCTTAGGATTATCCTGGACAGTGCCTCTGCTTTCTCCACCACACTGCATCCTTTTTTCCAGGACGCCAATCTTGAACTTCCTCACTGAGAAGAAGGGAGGACAGTGAAGGCAGGGTGGGTTTTTCTGGCATCCTGTATATGAGGTTGCATTTGAACAGCCATGTCTTCCACCTGATTCTGCTTCTTACCAAGCAGGCTTGTGCTTTGGGCTTTCAATAACTACAACTAATGAAATGCTAAGAAATCTCTTATAATATTTAAATTTTATGCATATTTATTTGCATTGACTCTGTACGCTGTTTTCTTATATGGTCCAATGATTTTATATTTTCCTGGCGCTGTCTGTTTGTGATTCTGAGTTCTATGATAACCTTATAATACTTACTCATCATTTGTTTGTTCACAACCCTTTATTCTTAAAACTGAGTATGTGAGAATGAACTGACATCACATCATATACAGCATACATGGAAGTCTCTCTACCTCTTGGTCCCTAAAACTAAATAGGGGAATTGTGAGGTAATTCCTTTAGAATACCACATAAATGGAGGGGGGCGAGAGGGGGGAGGAGGGGTGGTGGTGGTGGTGTGTGTGTACATGAGTGCAGTTCCCACAGAGACCAGAAGAGGGCTCCAGATTCCTTGGAACTGGAGTTATTGGTATTAGGTTATGAGTCACTGTGATGGGTGATGGGAACTGAACTCAGGTTCTTTGCAAAAGTACAGTATGTTTTGCTGTTAGGCCAACTCTAGCCCCATCATTCAGAAATTTTAAGAAAGGAATTGAAGATAGTAAACCACATTGGTCACTATGTTTAGGTGTTCCTAGAAAAATAAGCCCTTAAGCAAATAAGTATTTTTCTGTTTTGTTGTTTCTAAAATTGATCTTATTATTGTGTACATATTAATTATATAAAATGAATACATAATTATCATTTATATGCAATCATTATTTATATGCAATGCAACCCCTTTATTTCCCTGTTACACTCGCTCCATCTAAAATATGTCCCCTTACACTTCCTTAACCTTCCTCCTCCTCCTCCTCTTTCATATCTTTTCTAGACCCCGTTTATGCGATGTGTGTTCTTTGTATTGTGGAGAGTTTATTTAGAGAGTCTATTTATTTAAAGAGTCTGTTTCTTTAACTTGATGATACACAGACAGTTGCAAGAATTTTCTGGAGAATTTTATAATTTATTTATTGTAGTTTTTGTGGATGAATATCTTGCATTATTTATGCATATCATGTTTTCGTTATCCATTCATATGTTGGTAGTCATCTAGTCTCATTCCATAAATTGTCTGTTGTGGTACAGTTGATACACACACACAAACTCACACACATATATATGATTCAGTATAGTAGGTTCACTTTGATAAATATGCACACCCAGGAATGATACAATTGGTATGTCTATGTTAAATTTTCATTCAGAACCATCATTATAGCATCCACAGTAAATGGGATGTCTTACATTACAATGAGCATTGCATATGTGTTCTTTTTTTCCACTTTCATCCCAGCATTTTTTTAAAAAAATAGATTTGGTGAAAATGCAATTGTTAAAAAGACACTTAAAGCTGGAATTCTGGGGCAATCTAAATATTATTCATCACCAAAAATAAGGATCATTTGTCCCCTTCTGTGTTTACAATTTTTTTTAAATTTTACTAGTGTGATAAATGGATCTGGGGAACCAAGAAAATGACCACCCAATCTACAGTATTTGAGCCAGGCTGCAAGTCCTGCTGAGAATTTATTCTAATGCAAATAAATGGTTGCCATGCTTTACTCTGAGGGGTGAGAGCTTGGCCTCATATTACTTACTACATAGCTGGTTATCCAAGTGGTCCACTTGATAAGCAGAATGCACTTGGGAATACCGAGTGTAACCTTGCCTACATATTTGTATTTCATTATATGTATGTTGGCGTTTGAAGATACTGTCTCAGATATGGTGGCAGTGAAAAATTATTTTTAGAATGCAGAAAACGAAACTGTGCCGCTCATCTTCTACCACACACAGGCTCCGCATAAACGGGTCACGGATGTCAAAATGAACCCTGATACTCTGACAAAGCCAAAGGACATGGGAGAGAAAATACTCCCACATCTAAGCACAGGTAAGGGTTTTCTGAATAGGACTCTCAGCTAATAGGAAATGAGACTAAAAATTAACAAAAAGGAACTCATGAAATTAAGACTTTTCATTAAAGGAAAAGAAAATATCATTTAAATGGTAGCACAGAGAATGTGAGAAAGTCACTGGTGCAGCAGTGACATGGAGCTAGTGTTTAATTAATTTCCTTCTGAGCTGCACTGTAGGAAGGAATTAGTACAGCACACAGTACACAGTAGCTGGTCAGAAGACTGTGGCTGCAAGGGTCATGGCCCTTTAAGATTATGCTACTAGTAACTGCTTTGTAAATGTTTCTGTTTATCCAAATAGATCTCTTCAGCTGTCAGCCTTGGTCAGAGGTTCTTCTTTCTGTAGTAGGCAGCAGTAAATGCACAGCCTGGAAACTTCAAATGCTGAAGTAACCATGAACGCTGAAGTCCTAAATGGGGCATGAAGTCCAGCCACTCACCATAGATTTAGGGAGCATACAGAAATAGGTCCTGCATATCATGACTGAGGATGAGGGGACCTGCTGTGAAATGCTGTCTTTTGGACATGACATAGCCATAGTTCACTCACAGGAGGTATGATCACCTACAGCTTCAGATAAACATCTTCAGTACTAACCTAGAATATATCTATCTATCCTGAACCAGAGAGCTGGAAGAAAAAGCTCACTGTACCTTTGTCTTTGGAAAGAAAATTAAAAAGGAAGCTAGAAATTGACCATTGGTATTATTTATCAGTTCCCCCTTTCTTTACCTGTCTGCCTCCCAGGGAAGACTGTAATTCCTAGTCTCACAAATTAATGAGTTTATTGAAGTTAATTAACAGGGATATAAGTGAGGGATTACTTTCAGGAATATGAGTAACTCATATGCAGTAGCATCACAAAGGCTCATATTAAAATGGGTGACTCATGAAAACTAGAAACCTGAGTGTCTCTCCAAGACTCATCTCTCCGCCTGTCCTACTCACTACCTATGTAACATTGGGAGGGGAAGGGCCTTGTTAATCTTGTAAGTTTCAGCTTTCCCAGCCATGGTCTAATGCCCAAGTCTTGCCAACCTCCTCTGTCTTTCCATAGAACTTTCTGACCCTTCATGAAACAGTCTTACCCAGGGAAGAGCATACAAGTTGGATATCCAATATCATACATGCTAGCTATATAGAATGATCAGTTTGCAGTTAGCAAAATACAACTGCATGCATATACACATGCATGTAACAATAATTAATGAAAAGAGATGTCATAAATTAGACAAGGATTAAGGAAGAATGTAAGGAGGATCTGAAAATATGAAAGGGAAGAGAAAATAATGTAATTTTCTCAAAAATAACAGAAAAAAATTCATGTGAAAGAAGGGAAAATTGTTACACAACACTCCACCCCTTCTTTCAAACGTTAGTTGTTTCCACAAAATCACATTCTACCACGGAGCTCTGCAAAGGTACTAAAGTCACAGGCCAGTTCTGACATCCCTGGTGAAGCCACCTTTTTACGTTTCACCTCTTCTGTAAGCACAGCTCCATCGTGGCCCGTGAATTGGCCCTAAAGCTTTGCATCTCTCCTTCCTTCATCATCTCCCAGTACATGATATTTGTGAGAGCTCTGCTTGTGATAACCAAGCATCCCCATGCTTCCTTTGAGCCAGTCCATCAGGAAATGATTCCTCTCAGATTTCCTTAGCTTGTGTAGCCTTTATTTCAAGGAGATCTGAGTAAGTACACGACTCACCTTCCCACTTCTCTAGCACTCAGATTGATCCCATCAATAGTTTACCGCCTCATGAGCCGAGCTGTGACGGGAAATTTCCTTGATCTTTTGAAAGTCTTTCCAACTCAAGCAGTTGAGAGACATTGGACGCCCTGACCAAGACAGTATCCTTCCCTTTGCAGGCCATTTTAAGGCTCTGAAATGCAAGTTCAAACCTAGATTTTCCTTTTCTCTGTATAAAATGTTCAACCTAAGTGACAGGTACCTTCTATCACCTTTATTCCAAATAGAGAATTATAATTGTGTGGCAGTGTGTAGATTTTAGGACTAAGACATTTTTAACAAATACTGCATTTTTATATATGATCTTGATTTTTTTTTATCTTCCTCAAACTTTGTTTTATGATTAAATCTATTTTCTGGCTCTGTCCACATATTTCCATTTTCATTGAGAAAACTCTACAGATTTTACCTCACAACAAACATTTATTTAGTCAGAAAGAGGTTTTGGGAACATGACAGAGAACTAATTGTACCAACCCATTGTAACCATTTCCTCTAAATTACATTTGTCACATAAGGAAACAAAGATGAGCAGTTTTTTTAATTGTTTGTTTGTTTTTTGCATCTCTGTATGCTTCAAGAGGAGACAGGGACAAATTGTTGACAGCAACCTGGGTTTCTCACACTTCAAATTTTTCCAAGTATTTAAATGACTTAAAAAGTACTCCTGTACTTTTTAATACAATATTTTTAAATGTGTTGCTCTGAATTACATCTGATAACTTTTGATTAATATGATGGTATGTATTTTCCTGTGCAAACTGAAATGAATTGGTTTGACAGTATGTCAGAACACATCAGAAAACACTTAATTTTAAACCTCCTCTGGTATTTATCTTAATTTGTTGCTACAAATCTGTCTGGGATAAGGGTTCTGACTGAAGTACCATGTTTTCTAAAACAGTTCCGATTTCCAAAAGTTTATATTAGTAGTAGAGCGTAAGCCTTAGTTTTTTATTTGAACTCCGTGGTGAACTGTTTCTTATCACATTACAAACAATAGGAAAAGTGAGCTCAATTTGTCATAAAGAATTTTAATCTGTACATGACATTCTTAAAGAGCCAATGCTATTTTAAGCAGGACCCAGAAGTATAGACTCTCCAGTGTCCTTCCCTGAAGGAGCTTGCACCTGCAGAACTACATCTCCTTTTCATTCCCAGTCATTCCTGCTAACTAGTTCTGGCCTTCAGGAAAGTCATTTAAATAACCGTGGTTTCAAGCATTTTCATTCATAACAGGAAATTTCCAGCTCCTGTTGCTTTGAGACAGTCACTGTGCTAATGTTCTGATTTCTATTGCTCTTGTTGGACTACTTTTCTTGAAAAGGGAATGCTAAAAGAAGATAAATTTACAACGGAAAACAGTTTCTTACATTCAGATGTTTAAGCCAGTGGAGGAAAAGAAGATCCTTCAATGCTGTTGCTCTGGGTTTTTCATCAGCACTGTTTCCCTTAAACCACGTGAGCACTGGTAAGACAAGGAAAACAGCACAGCTTGCTGGTAAACCCTTGGATCTCCCGTTTATTGTTTAGGCTATTTGATTTGGATCCATGTACAAAAGAATAAACAACAATGAAATCCCAACTTCCAGACCCAACACCTGAAACCTCATCCCGTTTCCAGCCCTGTTTCCTCTTGATTTTGTTTACTTTTTTAAAATGCCAGGTTAATCGCTAATTTTTATTTTTATTATTTTTAATTCTGTACAGTGTATGTATGTGGGTATGTTCACACGAGTGAAAGTGAGGCCAGAGAGGCCAGAGGCAATGGATTTTCGGGAGTGGGCAGAAGTCACAGGCAGTTTTGAACTGTTTGGGGAACGGATCTTGGGTCCTCTATACTCCATACAGAGTAATCCATCTTAACCTTGGAGGCATCTGTTCAGCCCCTGCTTTCAACCTTATTAAAATTGCCCATCAGGTCCAGCACAGTAGCAGACACCTATAATCTCAGGCACTCAGGGAGCTGAAGAAGATGACTGTAAATTCCAAGTTAGTGCCAGCTGCAAATCTCTGGGACTTCGAGGCCACTTGGTTTACATAGAGATTTCTGTGAGTTTAGAGGGCGGCCCTGTCTAGGTATAAAAATCCAGGGGCTATGTAGAGAGACCCTGCCTCAAATGATAGTTGATAGATAGATAGATAGATAGATAGATAGATAGATAGATAAATGGATAAATAGATGATAGATGACAAATGATAAATGAAAAAGTTAAATAAACGTGGACATAAATTTAATTAATTTGGAACAAAACAAACAAGGAACAGCAGTGCTGGTGATCTGGCCTACAGTCCTAAGCATCACCCTCGCCCTCAGGGCCTGAAGCCCTAGGCCCCATCCTCTCAGTTTTGCATAAACTGGTGTGCTGGCCCATGCCTATAATCACAGCACTCAGGAGCTGGAAAGAGGAAAACCAGCCCTACGCCCTCCCTACACACCGCGGGTTGGTAAGTGGCCCCGACACTGGATGCGTGCTCTGCTGTACCAAGTCCAGTGTTCCTATGCTCCCCTCCCAGACACACCCCGAAGAAACTTTATTCAGGGTGACCCAGAGCCCACACAAGCCCAGATACAAAAAAATTAACAATGATGATATTCTTTTTTGTTGTTATTGCTGGCAGTTTCTGTTCTTAAGTACCTCCAAGAAGTATGCTTTCTTTGATCAGAATACCTTAAAGATAATCAAGTATTTTTCAGTCAAAATAGGGAAACTAGCACATGTAAAATTTTCACCACTGTCTTTGTTTCGTCTAAGAAGCTCCTCAGACATAACTCTGAAATACTAAAATGGATAACAAAAGCTTGTGAACAGCCTGTTTGCACTCCCACCTGTTGTGACTCTGTCTTTCACAGTCACTGAACGATCTTACACCTTGGTGAATTGTAGAAAACCTGAGAGAAAGCCAGAATGCTCATCTGTACATGGAAGTAACAGGTCACTGCCTATACATTGTTGCTTTCTGATTTGCTTATATTTTTATGTGTGCATGGATGTGAGCTGTGTGTGTGTGTGTGTGTGTGTGTGTGTGTGTGTGTGTGTGTGTGTGTTGTGAGACAGGGTGTAGTTTTTGTTTTATTTGTTCGTTTGTTTGTTTTTTTACCCATTGTGGGCCCGCCACTCAGCTCTCAAATAAATACACAGGGGCTGATTCTTACTTTTGATGCCCAGCCTTAGCTTGGCTTGCTTCTAGCCAGCTTTTCTAACAAATTATCCCATTTCTCTTTAACTGTTTTGCTTCTGGGCTTTTTGCCTTTCTTTATTCTATGTATCTTTCTTTCCTTCTTACTCTGTGGCTGACTGTGTGGCTAGGTGGCTGGCCCCTGGCGCTCTCCTCTCCTTCTCCTTTTCTCGATCCTCCTCTTCTCTCGAGCCTAGATTTCTCCTATTTATTCTCTCGGCCTGGCCGTCCCACCTATCCCTCTACTGCATAACTACTGGTCATTCAGCTCTTTATTGGACCAGTTAGGTGTTTTAGACAGGCACAGTAACACAGCTTTCCAGAGTTAAACAAATGCAACACATCTTTGCATCATTAAACAAATATTCCACAGCGTAAATGAATGTAACGCATCTTAAACTAATACTCCACAACAATAGGGCAGGCACGTGTGATATGTGAGGTGGGGGCAGGTGGCATCCAAACTTGGTGTTGGGTGAGAGGCAACAGTAACTCCATGCCATGATTCAGGTCTTGTTTTATGTATTGATTCATTTGTTCACTGTTTATTTGAATTCTTATACATCACCTGGAATTCCAGCATTCAATCTCATTAATTAATTTTTAGAAAATAAAAGCCAGGTCTGGAGAGAGGGCTCAGAGGTTAAGAGCACTGGCGGCTTTCCCAGAGGTCCTAAGTTCAATTCCCAGCAACCACATGGTGGCTCACAACCATCTGAATGAAATCTGGTGCCCTCTTCTGGCCTGCATTGCAGGCATACATGCAGGCAGATGTAGCTAGAGTTTTCCTGCCTGGCCCACAGTCAGGACAAATCTCTCTCACCTGCCAGTCCCACAGCCGCTCAAACCCAACCAAGTAAACACAGAGACTTATATTGGTTACAAACTGTATGGCCATGGCAGGCTTCTTGCTAACTGTTCTTACAGCTTAAATTAATCCATTTCCATTAATCTATACCTTGCCTCGTGGCTTACCGGCATCTTCACATGCTGTTTGTCATCGTGGCGGCTGGCAGTGTCTCTCTGACTCAGCCTTCCACTTCCCAGCTTTATTCTCCTCCTTGTCCCACCTACACTTCCTGCCTAGCCAATGGCCAATCAGTGTTTTATTTATTGACTAATTAGCAACACATTTGCCATACAGAACATCCCACAGCAGGAAGAATACATAATAAAAAAATAAATAGAAAATAAAAGCCATCATGAAGAAGGTGCAACAAATTCCTCATACCATATTGAGCATTGCCAGTGAAATGACACCTTTTTAGTGAGACAAAGTCTAGATATGCAGGCCAGGCTGATTTTCAAGTCTTTGTATCTTTCGCTGTTCTCATATTCATAATCATACAGCTTCATGCTCTTGAGAGCTTGGATTTAAAGGCATGGTCTTCCATGAAACCATGTATTTCTTTAATATATGAAACTTTCAGTAAAATTACAAAAGTTTACATATCATAAATTTGTGGAGGGAAAATTTCAGTTTATGTAACTTGCATATTAATTTTCAGATTTGACTGACAAAGTATTGGAAATTTAAGCATCCAACTGCACACTACCAAAGAAACAACAGTATTTTCAGCCTGTGTATAGTAAGCTTTTTCTCTGGTTATTTATTGTTCTTGTAACTGGAGTTAGTTGGTAGTAGTTAGTGAATTTATTAAACAAAACCAGCAATGTTGATAAACGTCTGTTGGTACACAATTACTTCTTACAGCATACATTTTTCTCTGTATGTTACTATTTTGTGTTAAAACTCTACCTACAGAACACTCAGCATGACAGTATGTGAAATATGTACGCTTTTCATAAGCAATAATAATGGAGGAAGATGCAAGTGTGCCTCAGTGGGAGATATATGCCTTTGTATATATGTAGTCTTGATTAGAATCCTCAGTACATATATAAATGATATAGATTGATGGATAGATAGATGATAGACAGAGAGACAGACATGGTGACCTACTGAATTTATTATCTTTCTGTCACTGTGACCAAGTATCAGACAGAAACAAATTAAGGATTGAAGTACTTGTTTCAAAATTAAATCCAAAGATTGTGATTTCAACGGATTTTGTTAATGGTTGCTAGGCCCTGAAACAATGAGAACAACATTATGGTGACCGTTCGTTCTCTCTGTTTCATACTATGGTTCAGGATGTGAGCTTTCAGCCTCCTGTTCCCGCCGCCATGCCTGCCTGCTGCCCTCACTCCGACATACCGGACTCGAAGCCTCTGTAACTACAAGCCAAAATAAACAATTCCTTCTATGTGTTGCCTTGGTCATGGTGTTTTATCACAGCAACAGAAAAGTAACTGATATGAGAGGTCACTAGACCTTTAGTCACCATTCTCTTCCCTGAAAACCTCAGACGTGTGCATTAAACCCACTGCAGCTCTGTCTCTGTATCTGTCTCTCCCTCCCTCCCTCCCTCCCTCCCATCCTCTCTCTGTCTCTGTCTCTCTCTCTCACACACACACACACCAGGAATCGCTGCCTCATCTTTCTTTTTAAAAATATTCCCAAACTTGCTGAAGAATCATCCTAATATGTCAACAGACACACTCCATATTCCTGACAGGCCTCAAGAGGAAACATCAATATGATATTGGCATAAAACTTCAACTAAGATAAATTTCCCAATAATTTCATGTAGAACTGGGTGACAAAACATAGTTATGACTAACTAAAATGAGAACATTTTTTTTCATAGACAACATCCTGAGGCACCCGTCTCCAAATTGAGAGTAATTTTGTAAATTACAATGGTCATCATTGTTGCCGCAGTTTCCCACATAACTTATAATACCCAATGCATTCAACTAATTTACCACATTTAATGATGCATTCAACTAATTTACCACATTTAATGATGCCTTCTCAAATGTGTGCCTTTTTTAAAATATTGGGTACTATGTTACATACATACATACATACATACATACATACATACATGCCATATAATATCACTTAGGGCCAGAATTTACCAGAAACAGAGCTGTCACAATATACAATATGGGTGACGTATAGTGTACTGATGTGATAAACTATAGGAAAAAAGAAAAGTGGTATGTCCACGCCATTGGACCTGCGAAAATGGGAGCGCATGGGAGGGCACCCAGGGAGGGAAACTGGTGGTATCGGCTACACACATCCCCTTCTTTTCCCTGTCCTGCAAGCCTGAGAGTGGATGCACATGGTGTAACATAGTGCTTCCCCCACTAAGAACCTCCAACTCCACACATCAAGCTGATGACCCAATGTGCCCTCCCCCCAGACTCAGAGCAAGGAGGTGTGGGACACAGTGGTGACAGAGCAAATGCTCAGACCTCCAGACACTGGGGACATACAGAAAGCAATCAAGGCAGGCAGTCCCGGGCATTAGAAAGATCCCACATCCCCACAGATCACAGCATGCCTTTTCCTCAGAAATATAAAGATACATTCATCACTGAGGGTTTGCTGGACCCAACCTGATGAGCTCCCATCGCCAACCCAGGATGACAGCCAGCCACAGGCCAGTGTTACTAAGCAGGAGTGTCAGACTGGGAGCAAACCTATTTTTGATGTTACCCAGAGGACACAAGGAAACAACCACCATCACCACCACCCATGTCCAAAAGGCAAGGCAGTTGGGTAAAGAGACTCCTCTGGATCAGAGGAGACTAGACACAGCAGAAGGAACCTAACTTCAACAGGACATGGGAGATCTGAGTGGGAGGCTCAGGCCCTCTAGCTACCTCCTCCTGCCTGGTCACTGTCATCAGGTGTCTTCGTGGCTGTGAGTCCTAGGTATGAAGCTGTCTGGTCCCTCTTTTGTTAGGTTGTTGTAGGGAATACCAACAGACATCCAGACCTACAGCATCCTCTCTACATAGTCCCGGGTGTCCTCGAACTTGTTATGTAGACCAGGCTGGTCTCAAACTCCTAGGCCATCTGGCTCTGCTTCCCAAGTGATGGGATTAAAGGCATTCACTATCAGTGTACACTGTTTAGACCAGGGATTTTGCCTTCCTTCCCACAGAGGTTACCACATACAATTGAGCATCTCTCCTCTGGCAAGGCAGCTTGGGAGCTGAACAGTCCCAGAGTGCTTCCTCCACCCGCCCCCGCCCGGTTCCCTCCTATGGACTCTCTTGAATCCTCTCCTTGGCACCTCTAAACTGGTCACCCTGAGGTTGTGCCAGGCACTATGGATCACAGGCAGGCATGCCCAAGCCCAGCTGCCCTCACCCTGGGAATGAAAAGCTAAGACAGTTAGTCTCCGTGGGGCCAGCACTTGGCTCAAGGGACCAGCCAGCAGCTAAGAATTCCTCACCAGCTGTTATCCCCAACCCCCGACAGGGACAACCGTCAGAACCAGTCCTCACAAGTGGTGAGGATGTAGCTGCACGGGATGGCCCTATAGTCCCCAGTGCCCTGTATTTCTTCTCTCCCTTCTTACTTTTCAGTGTTTTCACGGCCATGGTGACAGGCTTGGCAGTGCTGTCCATGTTAAGGCCAATAGCCTCTGCCATAAAAACCTGGCCAAAGCAGCCTTCTCCCAGAGGATTGCCGAGTGTCAGCCTGGCCATAGAAGCAGAGGTAGCCAGTATGTGCCCAGTACCCCCAGCCCTCATGGCCCTGTGCCACTGCGTCCATAGACAGAGTAACCCCTGAGATCTCACCCTGGACCCTACCTCAGGAGTATTTCATCCCACCTCCAACAGGCTCCTGCCTGGTAGCCATCTAGCCCCCAACCACAGAACCCCCCCAAGTACATTGTGTCCCTCACCAGCACTAACCGAGTTCTAGATATTTCCCACTTTGGGTCAGCAGGCAGCTCAAGCTCAGAACTATTAGCCATAACAGTATGTTCTCTTGAGAATGGGTGGACGATGTAGACCAGGGGTATGTCAGAGTTCACGGAGGAGTAGGACTCCACGGTCACCTGCTTGGATCATTGGGGATAGGTTGGTGCCACACAATGGGTGCTGGGCATTGGAAAAGAGTTGACGTGGTATAACTCCTAGGAGAGGCAAGGTCAAGTCTATGTGAGGCAGAATGTAGGGCCAAGAAGAGGGATGCTCATACAGTGGTTACTGAAGACTCAAAATTGTTTTGCATTTCAGAGTAACTTGGGATCCATGTGGAGAAGAGGAACAGGGAATGGTCAGCCCATCTGACTGCAGAGAAATGTCTCCTGGCAGGCCCCGGGCACGGCTGGGACTCTAGGAGGCTCAAAGCACAACGGAGAGATCAAAATCTGGTATCTATTTTCAGTTACCTGTTGCTCAGGTGTGAATCGAGAACTCCGTTCTTGCAGCTCTATGCAGGTAGCAGAGTGTCACAGTTGCCGCCATCAAAATTGAGAGGGAAAAGCCCACGCAGAAGATGATGATGCCCGCGGATAAACTGCCGGCCTCGTTACCCTCTGTCGGCTCTCTCTCAGCTGCAAAGACATGAATGTTGGGGCTTCATGAGGCCTTATGGGACTTCCCATCAGCCTGAACCCCAGGCACCTGTGGGGAAGGGACCCTGGATACTCAGAGCTGGGGGACCTACATCCCCCACTCACCTTGGTGGTCAAAAACATCTGTGAGTCAGGAGGGGCCAGACTCAGGAGAGAAGCCTGGCAGAGCCAGAAGCACCCACAACACCCACAAGGCTCCCAGGAGATCCCAGAGCCTCAAGGCAGGACTGTGGAAACCCACCTGGAGGATTGAGGGGGAGGCCTTTGCAAGACCAAGATGGGGCGGGTTGATGTTCCCATACCAGGCACAAGACCAGGGTGATTACCACAGGATGGACTGCAGTAAGTTGTAAGTGATCCCCTGCTGTCCCTGGCAGCTTTGTTATGTTCTGAGCCAGCACGAGAGGACAGACACAGCAGCAGCAGCAGAAGCAAGTACCTGGCAGCACCTCCAGCCATGCAGAGCGATGGGAAAACCTGAAATAATTGCCTGCCAGGCAGGTGTACTCCCCTGAGTCCTCAGAGGTGATATTGCACAAGGACAGAACTTCTAGCTCCTTGTCGGTAGTGTTAATGCCTGATGTCTACAAAGAGAGAACAGAGAGCAATGGGCAAGCACCAGCACCTCCCTTTGGGTACCACAGCACAGTCCACATGGAGATGATGCAGTCAGGCTTCAAGGGAAATGTCACCTTTGCCACCACCCCAGCCCTGCCGCAGCCATGGAGGCTCAGGGCCCTCTGTGTCCTGTACCAAGCCACTGAACATGAAGTCAGTCTCTCACGTGGTGGGCAATTCCCTGTCCAAGGTGAGCAACAGGGAGGTGGGGAGAGCATGGTGCCACGAAGAGGCAGCATGCAGAGTTAGAGCAGAAATAGGAGATGTGCAGAAGGAAAGATGAGCAGACAGATGTGTGGACAGGAAGCCAGAGGCATCCGTGTCGGCCAGAGACCGGTAGAAAGTCGCTGTTCTCAAACAGCACGGGGCTCAACCCCTGGCAGGTTCTATGGACCTTCGAAGCATGAAAGTGGAGCATGCAAGAGGACGCACAGGCCTGAGGGGCTTTGAAGGGGAAGTCAGTCAGTGCTGGCTGGGAGCTACCACTATTACCAAGGCGTCACAAGTAGAATGTGAGCCACAGGTAGGGTCAAGCAGGAGAGGCATTGGGCAGGTACACAGCCGGGGCCCTGGAGCTGGAGCTTAGCGAGCCAGGTAGGCACAGAACAGTCATCGCCTGCTTGAGGCCTGTGAACATGCAGCCAAAATGCCTTCTCAGCCATGCCTACGAAATTGACGGCTCGGCAGAGGTACCTGCCCCTATCCCACTCCGACACATTGGCTGGATGGAGTTGTGCATCTGCCTCAGGAGTCTCACTGATCCAGGACAGTGGGGACATCCCAAGCCAGCTCCAGAAGAACATGAGGACAAGGCGGGGCAAGGGAGAACCCAAAGAATGGGCTGGGGAACGGGCAGCAACACCTGGAAGGCTGCCTGAAGGGAGGGACATAATGGCAGTGATAGCTGTGGTTTCACAGACTGGCCTCCTCCGTGTCCACCCTACACACACACACACACACACACACACACACACACACACACACACACACACACACACACACAGAGAGAGAGGGGGGGGGCGGGGGAGATCACACTGGACATGGCTCTAGTGGCCTTTCTCAATATCCAGGATTCCAGCTCCTGCCAACACCTGTTCCTCTCCACAACTAGATTTCCTTGTCTCTCAACAGATGTTTTTCTTTGGGTTTCCAGTGTTGCAAAGTCTGAACTCTCAAGTGGCCCCGACCTGCGGCCATGGAACA